CGACGCTGTTGGTATAGCTCAGCATCATGATGCTATTACTGTACCGAGAAGCAGCATGTTGATGATGACTACTGTAAAAACTGCACGAGGCAACAGAAGGGGTAGAAGGCACCTGCACAGTCGGGCACCATCATCTCTGCTAGGTTATGGAATCCATTGTCATCCCCGAGACCATGTCGAGGTTTGGTCTTCCTAATGGTGGTGGCTACTGCCCTCTCCTCAATGAGAGTATATGTTCATGGACCGAAGAACTTTCGACTGATTCCTCCTCGGTTTTGATGGCGGTCTACAACCCTCTTAGTCACCCCATCACCTCTGTCGTGTCGGTGCCCATCGCGCCACCGAAACAAAAAGCGGAGTCTCCCGAGGCTGATGACAGTATCGAGAGTTACTCGGTACAGAGAAGCCTCATGGGGTCATTGAATCGCCATTGCAAAGGGATGACAGTCGCTGTTGAGAAGGCGGTAAGCAAGCAGGGTGTAAAGGTAGGAACTCCTCTATGTTATCAACGACTCACTTTTCCTCACTATGATCAGAGCTGGGTGACTGATGACGACCACCATCGTGGCACCCCAACCCCCACACTATACTTCACAGCAGAGGACGTGCCTCCAATGGGGTCGGCAATCTACCGGTAGGAAGGCTTCCAACCAAATGCTACTACAGCATTTCCAGTTTGAATTGAAAGTTTAACCGAAATACTGAAGGAACTTCCCCCATCGCTTTAACAATTCACCCAGTGTCGAAATGTCACCCAGAGATTAGTAATTACCCGTCTCGACCCTCATTGCCCCATCACCCAGTAGTTGAGTGAGTAACCCATCTCCGAATTTGATGTGATACACCGAGAGGACCTCCATACTGACAATAGCTCGTTGCCACTATCAGTCTCGAGGTCGTCCTCTACAACTGATGAATGTGATTCGTACTGCTCTGTTAACGAGGAAGGTGACTCAGTGAACTCTTGGGTAATTCATCAGCAATTTGTATACGTTATTGGAGCAATGGGTATTCTCTTGATAATAAGGCTTGAACTTTCAATCGAGCTGGAAATGCTGTAGATGAGCTACTTCCAACAGGATCACTTCCGGGGCCAAAGGGAAAACAGCAGCCTGCCCACAAGAGCAACAGCTCAGTGGACAGCCCTCTGTGTCGTCCGCGACAAGTGTTGGCAACGAAAACTACAAGCTGTTTTATGGAGGAGATGAGGGCAGTGGGAGACTGTACCGCTTTACTCTGAAGAACTTGAAGGCTGGTTTAGAGGTGGGTTCCGGGCAGTTTCGTATCCACAATCTCCCCCCAGGTTAGGTTCAACGTCATCCTTGGATACTATAACAGTTCTACGGGTTCTGGGGAGAACATTTACGGACGTCCATACCAAGCTTCGGGGGCCTACATCTTTCGACCCGATTGTCCGGAGGCACCTGATGTTAGATCGATTCGATCCTGCCGACCGGAGGTGGCCATCACTCCTACTGTAAGCAAGCTGCTAGTGAAGTGCATAGAGAGTTGCTAGCGAAAGGGGGAGGGGCCTATGAGGGGGAAATTGCTGAGAACATATCCTTGCTGAGGCGACGAGTTTGGACGACTTTTAGATACTCATGGGTCAAGCGGACGATGGGAGTACCCTGCGGGTGAATATTGCTCAACAATCATCAGAGGAGGGCTCTGCTCCAGCCCTCATCGGGAACTTATCTCTGAGCATCCCGCCGAAGGAGTCTGCAGTGGTGATATCGTGGGATGTGGCGATCGACGTTGGCGACGGTGTTGGGAAGGAGGCCGTCCTTGTAAGTAAAGAGGGCTATGGTATTGACCAGGTTGCTTCCACGTAGCTACTTGATACCGACATCAATAATCATGATGGAGACTTCCTCACGGACAGCAACGGTAGGGAGTGGGTACCCCGCAGGTGAGATCCTTGTTGTGCTTGGAGGAGTGATGTTAACTCTCAGGGTCAACTACCGCAAGGATTGGCAGCTGAATGTTACCGACCCAGTGGCCATGAACTATTACCCAATTAACTCAGGCCTGAGGATTTCCGATCAAGTCGGTAAAGGAAGTAACGTTCGGCAGGTAAGCCGCCAGCATCGAGTACATTCTCATAGTAGTGCCCCTAGCTCACTCTTGTGCCCGATCGAGCTCATGGTGGAGCCTCACTGCTACCAGGCCAACTCGAAATAATGATCCATAGGAGGATGCTATTTGACGATGGCCGAGGCGTTGGTGAGAGAGTGGGGTGGCGAGCTTAGGACGAGTTAACTTAGGAGAGGCTTTGGATGAGGTAGACTGTGGAAAGTCATTGTGCCTGCCTAAATTGGTAACGGGTGAGACGCGCCTACTGCTGGAGCCCGTTAGAACGTCGACGACCGAAGAAGAGTCCCACGACAACTATCGAGAGATGGCTCACCAGGTGACCGCTTTAGCCTATCTATAGACGGATGGACTCACATCAGGTCCGTTTGCCTCTTCTGCCTATCTTCGCTCATGATGATCCCAAGAACCCGCCTAAAGCCGATAAGTGGTCTTCTCTTGGAGGACTAACAGCTTGCAAGCCTTTGCCTCGAGAGATCCAAATTCTACGCTGGAGCTGTTGCATGCTAACAATACTCCTAAGCTCTACTATGAGAAGCTTGTGCCCATCACCGATGTGCGTTGCTTCGCGTGG